TTTCTTCTAGTTTTATCTCAATTTAAGATATTTTCAGCTGAATTACAGTGAATTGGATGGCATTGAAGGCATTGTAACGGCCAGTGTATAGCTTCCAAGAACTGACTTCAATGAACAACTATACCATCAAATGATATGCAAATCAAATATTAAGACCATATAATTATATTTATTATCTGCATATTTATAAATTATAAAATGGACAAAACAACTTAATAATGCACTCGACTTATGACCACCACTTCATCGCACACTAAAACAGATACTTTTATAACAAAGTTTTCATTATAATTGAATCAATAGTAATCATAAACTTGGCGTCTACTGTATGGGATACTTCTATACAATAAATTGATTACCAATTTTTACATTATTTTAAATTAGGGGTAAATTATTACATTTAAAACAAAAGAATAATTGTTAGCAAAAATATTAATCATACTGTATTAATATTAAATAAGATATTAATACTAACAATCATTAAGTATTCATATTCATTGTGGCCCATGTTTAAATTTTAACATTAGATGTTTAAATATAAACAATTTAAAGCATAAATAATACCTCATGTCTTTGGGGACGAGGATTGTATTTCCGGCGACTAATTGAATGCATTTGTTGTTAATTATAACGTTTGAATCATTTTTCTATTTTTCAAAAAAATTCATAGAAATTTATCAATAATATTAATTTACAATATTATTAATTAATATAATAGAAACCGATATATTAATAGTATTCATTAAATTCTATTAATATATCAATAATAATGAATTCTGTGATACTATGCAATGGAATTATAACTTCAATATTAAAGTATAAAATACGTGTCTTACAATAATTTAATTAAATATTAATTAAGCTAAATACTCGTAAAATTAAATATAAATCTTTCATATAGTTATTAATTAAATAAAAGATTTAACAGAATTTATTTTTAAATTAGATATACTGTAGTGTGTATTAATGGCACGGATAGCGCCCTCTTTTGAACACTTTTCACACAATCGATAGAATTGACTGAAATTATGCTAAAAGTTGTAAAATACTGACCACTTGTAAGACGAATGTTTCGAAAGGGCTCTTCATTTCATGAGTTTTATTGCCACCAAAAACAGTGATTTTTGATTGAAAACTATTGTCAAACAACGCCTTAAAGCCATTCTCATCGATCTCTTTGGCGTTGTTTTTAAGCCATTCTTTTAAATGAAAAGGTCTCACCATTTGTCGAGTTATATCATCAGAATAGGGGGCAGTTCTTAGCTTTGAATCTAGATTTTATAAACTGAATACTTATTTCGATTCATTAATTTTGCTGAAAAACATACTTTTAGATGGTTTCCCAGTTTTACACTCTTCTGATGCCTGAAATTGTTTAATGATTGGCACTAATTGTGTTCCCAAGTCTTCGCAATAAAACCATCGCTCGTATAGTATATCAGTTGTCTCGT